ATATATATATATATATATATATATATATATATATATATATATATGTGATTCAATCGAATTTACCAGGTTGTATATATATATATATTTATGTTAGTTAATATATATATATATATATATATATATATATATATATATATATATATATAATATTTATGTATGTATGAAATAGAAGCAACATATCTTCGCTAACTTGCATTTTTTTTTCATTATTTTTGCAGATCGATTAGATGTGTTATGTTGGATATTATTTAAAATGCTGTAGTGATTATTTTTTGTTCACATGTTGTCTCGATTGGAAAGCTCTTCAAGAGATCCTGATAATCTCTCGCCAGATTGACCAAAATTTTTTTGGATAATTTTTCAGTTTAACGTTGTTGAATCCGATAAGAAGTATTCTAATTCTTTATCTTTGGTGTGACATTTAAGACTGTACCTGAAATAAGCATGCCTCTCTTTAACATACTTTGCATGTTCTGGAAAATGATTTTTTCGCGTTTTTGTTCATATTCATACTTTACTTTCTTTTTCTTTATCTCTTTCTCTGATTATCTATTTTACTTTATCTCTATTTATATATCCATCCATCTTTCTCTAGCTCACGAGGCATTGTTGTGAATAGCAGTTCATCTGGAAATGTTTGTTTAAAAAATGGATGTGGTTCTTTAGAAAGTTTCCAACCATGCTTCCGTTCCGTGGAATCTTGCCTACCTCAATCATCATCTCATTCATTTCTCCATTTGGCTACTTCCATTTCTTTTTCCTCACAAAATGTGTACGCAGATTGAATTGTGTATGTGTATGTGTATATATATATATATATATATATATATATATATATATATATATATATATATATATATATATATATTATAAGCTCTTTTTTGGAACATGTATGTATAAATTATGTATATATATATACAGTATTGTATCAATATAATATATATATATATATATTACTTAACTATTCATATTTATATTCATTCATTATTTATTTTAAACTATGATTGGCTTTTAAATATAATTTTTTGTAAATTTTGTTAACTATTCGTTCAAAACATTCTTGTATTAATTAGTTTTTGCTGTACATATATTTCATCCATCACACGATAGCACGATGAATTTTTATTCGGTTGTAATGATAATATTGTCCCATTAGCTGCCATGTTTTTATACGGTGTATTTGTCCGTGGGATGTTTCAGTTTCAACTGTCTTCGTGTTGCAAGTGTTGAGAAGCTGCTAGCGTGCATGATACTATCAGGTTTGTAGTGGTGGTGATGGGCTCATCAACATTTCTATCTAAGGAGCTGATCATTTTGTCCATGGGAGGTTGTTGTTCTGCTCTATCACAACTGAATCGCTTGTTTGCTTGTTTGTTTATTTTCACGTTCGCCACCTTCCACGAATTCTACTATGCATATGTTTGAAGTTGTACGTTTGTTCGCTATATAAATTTATTTATAGGTAGGCGCATATGCATGTGATGTAGGATTATTTTTAGTAGGAATTATGCGCGCAGGCACGGATGCACGTGCATGTGTCGTTAATTAAAAAAAGACTTTCAATATTTTTATGATGAATTATTTTTTATATAAATTATTTCCTCTTATTCCTGCTTGTACAAAACTTATTTTGAAGAGTAGAATTATATAAAGAAGCCACCAGTTGATATATTTTTAAAACCACGTGACTTGATCAACTCTCATCACCTCCTTTCATCTCTGATAGCATCGTACCATATTAATACGCTTTTTTTTTACAACTTCGTTGCATATTACGGTTTTATGTTATCTTAATTTAACTTAAATTTTGTTTTGATTCGTAATACATTAATTAACAGTCGTGTGTATGGTTGTGTGTGACGATGTGATTGTGTGCGAATGTGTGGTTGTGTGTGAAAGGTATTTCAGTATATTGAAGACAAATAAATCATCTCAGCAGCTATATGAGACGTTCAACGTATTCTTAAGTTGGCAACGTATTCTTAAGTTGATTTTCTGTCGTTATATTTTCATTATTTTAATTCTTTTTGCTGGAGACGATATGATTTGACAAGTTCGTGTTCTCAAATGAATTGATTAGTGAAAACTATTGTCTATTAATATATTAACACGTTGGTTGAATGTACTGTTTCGTTTGATGATGTGTCTTGGATGTTGGTTGGCGGTGCGTACACATTCTGGAGGTTTTATTAGAAACGTTTCTTTTGATTCGCTCATATTATTTGTTAATAAGGTTCATTTTTATTCAAATGATATATGATTTTTATTTCAGAGATGGTGTTCTTTGATATATTATACGAGATTTATTTGAAAAAATCAATTTAATTACAGATCTTGAAAATAAATTATTTGAATTTTGTTGCGTTTTTTGAGCCACTTGGAGACGAACTGAGAGAATTTGAACGTTAAGTAGGTAAAGTAACGCTAGGTAAGTAACTAACTTACATCACGTGCATCCAAGTCTAAAGAACATCATTATAACTATTTTGTTTGTTGTCGAGTTAACTTAGATGGTAAAAGTGCTACATCTCAAATAGATATTGCGCCGACCTGGTGCCAAAATCAACCTTTTGCAAACGATGCAGTGCCGGCACGTATACATGATGGACGATTGCATTGTATCAATAGATGTCCAAAAGTTTAAATGTTTCAAATAAATAAGGAACGAGTTCTGCATATGAGCTAAGGAGACATATACTTATATACGTCGAATGTATACAATGTGGGATATGGAAACTTTGCTTCGTGTTAAGTTCTATTGAGTTAGTCGGTGTTATCAAAGTTGTCTAACTATGGGAGGCCCTGCGGGCTCGCTCGCAATCGTCACTCAAACTTATTTATTCATCCGTTCCAATTCTAACTTCATGTCAGGTGGTAAGGAACACGAAACGTATAAAATATATTTTGTTAAGCTCATTTGGGATGAGTTAATATAAAACGGTTGATGTTGGTGCGGGGTTGTGCTTCCATGTCGTCAAAGTCGAGTGCATGATGAGAAGTAGCTAAAACAAAGCGAGTAAAAACAAATGTAAGACATTGAAAAGTGGTTGATAAAAATTTAACTTTAAAATTTCTTTACAATTAAAATTTTAAATTACGACGGAAAGAACATGCCATGGAATTTTGTGTTGCGAAAAACTGCCTTAACAAGAAATTTATATTCCAGAGGCCAAGAGCGGTGTGTCGATGATGAATTCCAAAAGCTTACTGGAACATAAGAATAATATAAAAAATTATATTATTTTTAAAGATGTAATATATTTAAGAATAAAATTCAGAAAAACCTAATATTACGGTACATAATAATTTTGTTAGAGAAAATAAAAAAAGTGAAAAGTGCAAGTAAAGGGAAAATAAAAATTATAAAATATTATATTAATAAATATAATAATTATTTCCACCAAGGAGCCAGTGTGTTTCGATGAATTACTCGTGTGGAAGTTCGAGTCGGAATGATGACGTCATCATCTCACGGAGGAGGAGGAAGTATTGCCTGGAGTCCACCGAGTGAGGTATAAAAAATTTTCTTGTTATTATTAATTAATTAATTTATTTATTTATTACATAATTATTACAAGCAGTTTTCAAATATTCCCATCAAACCAAAAAAAATTGATATTTTAGCTTATAATTGTTTTCTTTGAAAATTACCATTTAAAGTTGTATTTTGAAGAATTAATATCTTAAAAGCAAATAATAAACTCAACTAACTTTCATTGAAAGTTTGAAATGTTTTAAAATAATTAGTAAACAATTATTTTGACGACTGATCTGAACGAGAAAATGAACAACCCGAAGTTAACACTCGTCTTATTTGTGCTGTTAACAAATAGCTAATAACTCTTGAACAATAATTTTGCTATGATTGTCGCCAAAGAAAGAATAATATTAACAATTATTAATTAGTAATTAAAGTATTAATAATTAAAATATGATTAACATTATCACCATTCACCACAATTACTTTTTCTTCCGTATTTCATTCGGGAAGATCCTTAAGGCAAGAGCCATCATCATCATCATCGTTATCATTACCAGAATGTTCGTGATAATTAGTTTCTTCAAAATAATTAGCGGAATTAATGTAATCGTTATCACGGAAAAACAAAACATCCCGACTCATTGAATATCGCCCACCCCAATTACTCCATTTTTGCAGCCAATCTTTATAAAACATTCAATTCATATAGCCATGTCTCGACCACCAGCTCGTCTGACTTCTCCAGGTAAAAAGATCAATTACACTCTTCCAAAGTTCAGAGGATTCAACCTCGTAAATGAATACGTGCTAAACGACGCATCACACACGAAGCATGTGATACGCGGGAATCTTTTTGTCATATTCGAACCCGGTTACTGAGAAACAGCACCAGGCGACTTTAACCATTAGACTATATCACTCCAACTTGATCATTTCATCTTTTGCCTCACTGGATCATCTGCAGGCGCCACTTTCTCACTCCACCAGTCACTTCATTTCTCAGAAATAACAATCATTCGTCATTCAACATTTGCTTCAAATCTTTACAATTTATCTTCACCTGAAAAGCTCCACAACTCATTTCTTTTCTCTCCGTGAGGTAGCAGGTTTATGATGCACTTCAAGACAGAAACTTTGGTTACTTACAAGATAGTTCGGAGGTGATAGCCAGCCGTGCGCTGACAGGGAAGCATTCTATCAAGTTTTAATTCAAACGTGGCTGCTGATGTTTCGTAGCCAATGAATATTTTTTATTATAAAGAAAAAAATCTGAACAAACTCGTAGAAAACAAACTCACAAAAATTTGTATTCACTGGATCGTTAAAACAAAAAATTAATTTAAAAATTGCCACAACGAAGCAAAACTAAGCTCTTCTACAGACAGGAACGTAATAAAAGATTGCGAACAAAGCAATTAACTGGCAACTTAAATTGAAATGTTGGTGGAGTAACCGCATTCGTGTGAGTGCGTGTGCCATGTTGTTGTTATGCTGGTGGTGAGCGTTAGTCACCATGGCATGAGTATTGTAGCAAGGGTGATGATGATGATAATTTCAAGGTGGTGTGATGGGGTGTGGTGAATGATGAAGGGATGGTGTGATGTGGTAGTGGTGGGAAACATCTTACGCGGTAACATGATCAGGAACGCGCCGACCTAACTTCACCACAAAGATCCTCACCCGTTATTATTTGTTAGTTAATAATTTCCAGTACACCAATGTATATAAATACATGAATAAATTAAAAAAATAATAATGTGAAACATGGCATACGTTGCTACCAAAGAATTGAATGCCAACGCATGTGAACGCGGACACGATCTTGTCTCGCATGCTTGTTTGTATGTTTATTTGTTTGTATGTTTGTTTGTATGTATGTTTATTTGTTTGTTTGTATGTTTATTTGTATGTATGTTTATTTGTATGTATGTATGTATGTTTGTATGCAAGCTTGTTTGTTCATTCTTCGTTCGAACACTTCACATTTCACGAAAGATAAAAAGATGCAACGATGTCTATTAAGAAAGTTAACTGGGAACTCCAAAAACGCAAAGGTGAACCAGGTGCTTGGGTGAATGGATGGATGGATGGACGAACGAATGAACAAAAAAATGAATGAAAGGATGAATATGAGGAAAACAAATGCTTGATGTTAATGAATGAGTGAATGAGAAAAATGGACAAAAAAGCAAATGAGTTCGTAATGACGAGTACGGAAACGGATCATGCAGACGGCCAAAAATATAAATAAGAATTAAAAATATGAGACAACAAAAAATATGAAGACACGCAGAAAACAATAATTAATACAAATCACAACAAATATACATAAATCCATTACGACCTACAAATAAATACAACATCGTCATCATCAACAACAACAACAACAAACACAACACATACGGATACCAGCAAATGATGCAACATCGACCAGCTGTAAGAATATAAAAATAAAACAAAAAAAACATCACAGCGATGTCCAACCGTTTCACAATTAATCCATCTCATTCAACCACTTCGTAACAATTCATTCATTCATTCATTCATGCATCCATACATCCAATAATTTACTAATTCAAGCATCCATCCATTTACTCCAGGGGCGTCAAACACTGCAAGACCACGGACCAACGTGACCTGAACTTTCTACAGTACATGGCCACATTTTTAATTTAAAAAAAAAACGCAGAAAATCTTTTCCAACTTTTAAATTTTCAAACTTGCGAAATGTGCATCCTAGAAATTGATGAAGCTGGGATTACAAAAAACTTTCTAGACAACAAACATTTTTCTGAAGAAATTTTGTTATTTTGGAAGCATATTTATGTGAGCCATCAATTAGTTTCATGAAGTGAAATGAAAGCATTCGCTGATCCAGGCTAACTGACAAACACTCGTCTGCCGCCCTGAAGACAACCGTAATCCAACTTTTCATTGCAGACAGAGAAAAATTAAATAGACAGAAACCTTTAAATAGACAGAAACCTCTGCATGCTTCAAGTTAAAGTAATTGTTGTGGTGGTGATTTTCATGAAAATTTGGCAAATGAACAAACTCAAAGACGATAAGGGTCACGAAATTTTACCTGCTTGTAAACGGGTGAGTTCGACAGCCATGATTTGCTGATATTCATTCATTCGTTGGTCCATTTGACTTTAGTTCATCCATCCATTCATTCATCATCATTCATTCACTTATTCATTCATCCATTCAAACTTTCGTTCATCCATTCATTTAAATTCTTTCATAAACGTGGTGAAACGTTGAGATGCAGGAGAACTGGATTGAACAAAACACGTGCACGACACATCCACACACACACACACACACACACACACACACACACACACACACACACACACACACACACACACACACACACACACACACACACACGCTTATTATACGCAGGCATTCAGATGTAAAGAAATAAATAGATATGCACTTACGTTCACAAACGCGCAAAGAATTTTACACGTAGACACGCAGATAAACACACACTGCCACACACACACACATCCACACGCACGCAGCCTGTCGAAAACCTAACAACATAGAACAAACAAACGAACGAACGAACGGACGAGCAAACAAACAATGAACATAAACGTATACAGTATGAAGTAAAACACGCAAGTCTAACAATCACCAACAACTGTAAACAAACGAAAAATCGAATGACACAAGAGTGCTTACGGCGGTGAAGCTTGTAAGAAACAACTGAATGAAATTTACTAACTTCACACACACACACACACGCGCGCGCGCGCGCACACACACACGCACACATATGTATATGTAACATGCGTCGTGTAGTATCTATTGCCCCGTGTTAACTTAAACGCTGACACTTGAATAAAAAAGAACATCATAAAAGTTGAAAGGTGAAATAAAAAAGGTTGACTCCTCCAAAATGACGCATGCAACGGATGATGAATGCATTAACAAATTAATGAATTATAACAACAAAAATGACCTCTCTTATAAAAAAGTCAACATTTCTAAATTTAAAAATTCATCAAAAACATCAATAGTGATTAATTAATTCACACATCCATCTATCCATCCATTCATTTCATCATTCATATATGCATCTATTTATACATCCAATATATCAAGTGATCCATGCATGCATGCATTCATTCATACATTCATTCACGCAATCATTCATTCCGTCGTCCATCCATCCATCCATCCGTCCATCCATCCATCCTTGATATTAATGTGATCAGGCCTTGCACGGTACAACATTATTCTTGCTATTGTTGTTGGTTGAGTTGTTGTTCTTCTGTCCCTTCTTGCCATGGGAACCCCTCTTGTTGTTGCTGCTGTGGTAGCGGTTGTTGCTGTTGTTGTAGCTGGATCGGTGGTAGCTGCGAGGAACTGAAGGGTATTCATCCGTGTAATGCAACAGACCTCCCGCATCATATTGTACTGTGTATGATTATTGTACTGTGTCACAATGGGCTGTATGATATTGTACTGTGTATGTATAATATTGTACTGTGAATGATATTGATATATTGTGATATACTGTGAGATGTTGTATACTGAATGATATTATAGCGTATTGTAATGTTCAAACGCATTCACAAAGTATCTAGATACGAATGAGTAATGTACAAATGAAAGTTCCCATCGTGCATGCTGCATGAATGAATTAGTGAAAAAACATGTGTGAATGAATTCATGTCAATAAAAAATATAAAAAAAGCAGCAAATAAATGTCACTATTTGGTTAAAGAATGAACGAACGAACGAACAAACGAATGAATGATCAGATAAACAAACGAACGAACGAACGAGCGAACAAACGAATGAATGATCAAACAAACAAACGAACGAACGAACAAACGAATGAATGATCAAACAAACGAACGAATGAACGACAGAATGTTAACGGACAGCATGCACTTTTGCACATGAATGACATTGGCGGGTCTATGAAGCAAAACAACAGCTGACCTCTATCACTGCTGTGCATGAGGCCTGCATGTTTGACATCGTAGTAGTTGTAAGCATCAGCGTACGTGTAGTAGTCGTAAGCTGCATTGTAGCAATCGTTCGGCGGGTAGTCATAGTAGAAGTTGTTGTAATAATCTGATGGATGGCAAGTTTTTGTGATGACGGTAACGTGATGACGGTCACGTAAGGATGGTCAGGTGATGGTGGTCATGTGATGGTATTTATCATCATATCATCACGATCATCATCTTCATTTTTATCACCTCAGTTATATTGTCATCCACACATACATCTTCATCGATTATTATATAAAAAATGTTGTGAAGCACTTCATCTGCTGCTACGAATTCGCAACAGTCAGCATTAAATTCGTATTTGCATTTGCAAGAACAGAACTGCGAAACTAAAGCCCAGTACACACTAGTGGACGTGTTGCGCAAATCGCTCATGAACCGTTTAACGGCGATGGCCTACATGATGTTCATTATAATATGTTGTTCGTTGTCCAGTCTTACGTCAAGACTGTGAGTTTCTTATTATCGCTTTTTTAGTCCAATATGAAAAATTCTATAGAATATAATACACCTTCGCAGCACCGTTGAAAATTATACTTCGTTTTTTAAGAATATGTAAATTAAAAAATTTAATTATTTTTTAAAAATAAATTTTAATTATGAAACAAATTAAAAAAAAATTAAAATTGGCAATAAACGTGAAAGAAACGGAATGGAATAAAATTCTAAAAAAAACCAGTAAAACAAATTTTTATATTTTAAATAAAAATAATTCTTTGAGCAATTAAAAAAATTAAAATTCCACTTATTGAAATCATTAAAAAATATTAATAAACAATAAGAATATTAAATAAATTATTAAAACAATATATAAGTTACAAAATTAAAAAAAAAACCTGATCCAAAAAAATTTAAAAGTAAAAAAGTTTAAAAAATCTTCCAATTCCGATGGAAGATAGTTTCCTTATCGCAACAAGCCTAGGCCTGTAGATCAAGTTAATCTATAGAGAAATCTCGTAGACAGCCTAGTTACGTTTCAGAAACCAGAATCGCGCAAATAGTCTACTAGTAGTGTCTACGTGGTTTCGAGAAGAAATAAAAAGCTTGAGGTGACTCGTGCATCTTCAGTCGTGTATTGCATTATGATGTTCCCCGTGGTGGAGCCTTCATACTAATCAATGTTGTGGCCCCACCGGCGTCACCAACATCACTCCAGACCTCATCATCGTCACCATTATTATCCTCGATCAACATCATCTTCATCATCATCACCTCAACCAACATTATCATCATCACCCCAACAATCATCACCATCATCCTCAACCAAGATCATCATCATTACCATCATCCTCAACCAACATCATCATCATCATCATCATCATCACCCAAACCATCATCATCATCCTCAACCAACATCATCATCATCATCATCATCATCATCATCATCATCATCATCATCATCATATGACCACAAAACTGACTTGAATAATTTCTTGAGTTGTTCTTTCTGTTGTTGTTGTTGTTGGACCTGCCCATGTAGCACCTGCCCCAGAGAGGAACCACCCTATTCAGAGGAATAAAAATCAGGTCGTGCTTATTGAGAACTTTCTCGAAAATAAAAAATAATTTAATAATCATTGACACAGAAGTGAGCAGGCAGAAACAATTTGCGAATAAACTGCTGCAGTGCAGTTTATTCGCAAATTTGCTGGAAGTTTTAATTTGCTGCTTTCATTCCAGATAATTCCAGTATTGGACGCCAACCTTGGACGCAACAGAAGCCACTACTGCTACTACTACCTCCTAATAACCACACCACCACTGCCGTCACTACTACAAACACCATTGCAGTACCAACTATTATTACTATTAACTAATCTACAACTATCGCAAGCACCCTACAGAGCCTTACACAAGAGTAAGATGTCATGGTGGGTGGGTGAGAAGTGCGCACTGCAGTTAGTTATACTGGGTGGGTTGTCTGCAGTATGCATCGCTGCCGAAACTTCGTCGTATGAAATTAAGGAATTATTTCATTCGAAAATTAATTTATCTTTTCTGAAATAGGTTGAAGAACAACATCGTGGCACAATAGACAACTACACATGAGAATAACAATGCATCGGTACAACCAACAACACACCAGCCAACAACAACAAAACGACTAACAACACACCACATCAACCAACAACAACGCACCAACCAACAACAACACACCAACCAACCAATGGTATCCAGTAGCATGTTTGTTGTACATGTGCTGATGATGATGTTGATTGTTCTTCTTATTGTTGTTGTTGTTGTTGTTCTCCTTGGTTTTGTTCTTTAGAAGAGGTTTCGCCAGAGAAACATCAATCTCCACGTCAGACACTTTCTGATGGGAGTAAGAACAAGTAAATGACAAACAAACGAACAAATGAACGAACTAACAATTAAACAAACAAAATGATAAACAAACCCACAAAGCAAACAGACGACAAAACACCATTTACACAAACAATGTAATTATTTTTCGTAGTAAAATCACTTTACATATATGCTTCAAAAATTACTGAAAAAAAATTATGCGATCTTATTCAAATAAATGGCATTTATTTTTAATATCAAAGATGATTGCATATGGCTATACCAATTTATCTTCTTAAAAACATAACTTTAAAAAATATTTTTCAAAATAAAAAATTAAAGAGTATTCAATTTCTCAATATATTCCGAAACCGAACGAAAAAATTCAGACTCCGGATACTCAAAAAATTCCGACTGCTGTAAAAATCTGTGACTCTGGTGCAAATACAATTTTCATAAGTAACGATTTTACGTATAGTACAATTTTACATATAAGTACAATTTTAGGTATACGAACGCGATTTTAAATATACAAATAGATATATTCATGCGATTCCTTCTGCTTATGTGTTGCGTTCCCATGCAACCCGCAAACATGCAATCCATTCACATCCTCGCCCGTCAAAAAAGAAACATACGTCGCTTGCGATTTTGGTTTCGGACATGAAGTTGGAAGAAAGTAGCACAGTGAGACAACTCACTTGAATCATTTGCACTGTAATAAAAACAAAACATAGATTGAATGTTTTAGCAAATCATAATTGCTTCATAAAAGCATTTTTCAAGTTCTGTCGAGAGAAAGATTGAGTTTTGGAGTTATGAAGTGAGGAAAATTTACTCTAAATATTTTTCATCAATTGTAAAAATTTATTCGTGCAGGTGGTTTTAAACCATACAAACAAAAACCGCAAACGGCTAAATCCGCGGAGTTTTAGAAATTCGTCATCCGCAACGATGGCTGTGACGATCACAATCATGACTGCCAATTAAAAGTAATACATCAGGTGACATTATCTTTTAACGACTTTTATTTTTACATGAACGCTTCCATCAGCCTGGCTAGCTCAGTCGGTAGAGCATGAGACTCTTAATCTCAGGGTCGTGGGTTCGAGCCCCACGTTGGGCGTGTAGTTTTGCCCATTGGAGTTTCCTCGCCATGGTTCGTTTGTTAGGCCTCTCTACCACCGGAATCTTCCGCGAAACCCAAACTTTGATAAAACAGCACACACATGCATACATACAATGCATACATACAATGCGTATATTGGTGTGTGTCTGTAAAAACATGTTTACAACAACTAACCAACAACATTCAAATATAAACATCATCATGATTCATGACATCAAGTTAAACATTGATATAAACATCAATATAGACCTAACATCACAGCAATACAGACATCAACATGAGACTACCATAGACATCAACATGAGACATCAACATAGACAGCAATATAGACATCAACATGACATGGACGCGACCAACAACGAGAACGTACAGTTCCATGCATTTGCTTGAGGGCTTCGACTGCACTGTCCCGATCAGTGAAATGCACGAATCCATAGGATTTAACTTTCTTAACTCGATCGATGGATCCAAACTTCTCAAACATGCTCCTCAGTGCCTGCTCGGTTATGTCGGACTTCAAGTTCCTGATGTACAGGACTTTCACCTGGTTTCAATATGATCCACCATTATTTTGGATTTTCGTTTGTGCAGTAGTAATGATGTTCAAAATGTCTAAGAGGACAACAACATAGATGTTTAAAATAAAAATGTCAAATGGCCAATATTATTTATAATAACCTTAAAAAAGTTGATATCAAGCTGAAATATAATATGGATGAAAAACAATCAAATAAATAAAATTGAGGCACCTTGGCCATGACCTCCTCGCTGGGGTCAAGATCCAGAGGTTCTGCCCAATCACAGATGATCTGCAGTCCCCACAGGACCAACCGACCAATCATGATGCGACGTCTGGCAGCAGAAGCAGATCGGTGCGAGTCAAAATCAACAAATGCAAAGCCACGATTTTTTATCTTCGAATCGTCAGGGGATCCATACACGATGACGTCAACGATGCCGTCTGTTGGGCAAGTCCCATCCCATTGCTACTGTGCACACACACACACACACACACACACAAAAGTACACAGACAAAAACTTCATCATTCACAGACATGCATGAAGACACTGACACGTACACATAAACAACACATACAAAACACAAACACATGCACAGACACATATAGAGAAAAACAACCAGATACAACACACACACAAACGGAGCTATATACACATAGACCCATGTATAGTTAAACACGGACAGAAAATACATACATACATGCATACACTACACAGACAGACACATGTAAAGACAGGCATATATACAAACATAAAGTAGCAAACAGATACACTTACAATCATACAGACACAAATACACACGCATATAAAAACGCATTCACAAACAGTCACCTAGCAGTTTCTTAAGTTCTTCCATCAGTTCTTCCTTCGACTTGGTCTTTGGTATGTTTCCAATGAACAAGCGACAGTTAGGATCAGCTATGTTGACCTTCAGCAACTTCCCACGTTTTATTTCATAGTTGTTCAACTGACATATTTGAGAGAAAAACATTTATTTCAATATGTGTACAAAGTACGTACAAGGACTTAGCAACTGAGCATCAAGTTATCTATCGCATAAACAACGGATGCCATACTCCATATACATACAACATAAATTGAATCGTATCAAACCTCAAAATGAAAAATTAAACAAAAATAAAATTAAAACAAATACGTCAACCGCCCGCTATTTCAAAAAACTGGGCTTGCATGAAAAATATCACCAAAAATCTGCTACAGCATTCATCATACCATTTATATAAACAAGTTCACGTACCAACGGCACACACAACAATAACAACTACATGCACACATACAAGAGATCATCACATCAACAACATACATACACGCAATCGACACACCAATAACAAAACACACACGCATATCCATCACATCAACAGCAAAACTCTCTCTCTTTCACAAACACAGAAAGAGAGAGAGAGAGAGAGAGAGAGAGAGAGAGAGAGAGAGAGGAGAGAGAGAGAGAGAGAAAGAGAACAGCACAACAACAAACCCCCACGACCGCATCATTGGCAGACTGCAGCTGGCAATAGGTGACGAAGCAGAACCCGCGATTTCTCCCTTGCACGGGATCCATCATCAGCCGAACGTCCCATAACTTTCCATACTTTTCAAACAGCGGAACAAGTTCGTCTTCGTACATGTCTCGCGGTATCTTGCCACAGTAGAGCTTTTTGTCAGTAAAAATGTTTCAATGAAAATTAAGGATCAGACGCTAACCAGCCTTTCAGAAATATGCCAAACACCTCATCAACAATTTCACACGACCAGTCCAATAATAAAAATTCGATTCTTTACTCTAAAACTATGATGATGAATAACGCTGCTTCAAACTACTTAAAGTAATGGAAACATGGAAAAGGAAAACTTTTCAAAAAGAAAAAGAAGAATAATTCAAATGCATTTCCATCTTTTAAAAACAGTCCGACCCGTAACTGGTGGAGACTATGAGCGAGGATCGATTGATTGATTGCATCTCATAAAGCCTTAACCAAAAATGAGTAATATGAATGTATAAAAGTTGGCATTGAGGAGATGTGAGAGAGGAGAGGAGGCAGCCGTGTTCAAACTTTTGAAACGACACATTTGAAATCATTAACGACCTCAAAATTGACTGCTCAAGCAATAAAAAGTCACAAATCTTGGACTGAAAAGTTTTTTATAAAATAAATACCTTTTCAATGGATGATAAAACTATGCATTAAACTAAATTATGAATTTTGGATAGAATGATTTGCTACATATTTCTTTTTAAGACGTAGATACACGTGAAAATTGGGAATTAACCGTGGCTTAGAACAAATGAAAATCGCTAAAAAGTTAATGACCCGCCATAAAAAAAACCAATAAATAAATAGACTAACGACCAGGATGAATATCTACCTATCTGCTGGCCTAACTGAAATATCACAACACAACTACAAATGCATTTGTATCAATACATAGTAAAAAAACGTCTACACCTTTTCTGTTAGAAGTCATACAAGCAAGTTAAATAACTCTAATTAGTGCCATGGGGAACTGTAACACCAGGAATGAACAACATTAGCAGTGTCAATCACTGAGCCAGGAAATAGATGGATTGTTTCAAAGGGCAACTTCCAGTCAATTCCAACTTAAAATCACTAAAACTATTCAAAATTTATTGACTTCAAAATCTAATTATGCTGATTTTAAACCTCTCAAAAAGTGAAACGAAAATAATTAGATATATGCTCGGCTCAAATAACAATAGGCATCACCATGATGCATTAGGTTATTAATTCAACTCTCGTTTAATTAACAACATTTCTTCAATTTTCATTGTCCGCAAACTTAGATTAATGAAATGTATGCAATAAACACTAGAGAGCTAGATGTTATAAAATCTCTTGAGGTCAAGCCAAGATAAAAGGGAGTTTTAAAATTTTTTTTTGAATGTTAAGTAAAAATAACACAAACTATCCATACAGAACTTCAACTCTCTGTAAAAGAACGAACTTAAAAAAAACTAAATATTCTGTTGAGAATATTTATTTTTTGGACTGAAAAACTATTTCAACTTTTAAAGCAGTGCAACTGGGTCGAAATAATGATGCAATTAAATGATACGACCACCAAAAGTAGAAAATACCAATAATAAATAACAGTCTCAACTGATTTATTTTTATAACAAGATAAAAAAAAGTAAGACTTTAACAAAAACAGTAGAAATAATGAACTAACAACAACCTCATGCCCATTGGGTGGGGGTGGGTCGGTGCAGCCTGGAGGGGGTCCACCATATTTCCGCTGGCCCGACGACACCTCCAGTGAATAACCTGTCCTTTCTAAGAGAGCCTGTTCGATTGACAGTTGACAAGTTGGATGTTTAGCCAAAATATTAAATATTACAGAAATCAATGAAGTTCTGTCTGAAAAATATTGGCAACGCCTGCTAATGTAATTCTAATTTTTAAAATAGGAAAAACAAAATTTTAAAAGTACTCAAGTATGTGAGGAATCAAAAACTAACAAAAACACTCAATAAATTGGTTTAAATTGAACACAATCACTTTGATTTTTTCTTCATTGGGTCCTTGAGGACCAGAGGATTGTTCCTTGCGGTCCACCTGACGCTTAGAAGGCTCTTCCTTGTGATCATCTTTTGAAATGCAAGACTCATTCTCACAGCTGGCCTGGTCAATTTGAGTAGAAGATGTTGGTTCATCATGGTCCAGTTGGGATGAAGTTGGTTCGTCATGGTGGTCAGCCTGCGAAGATGAAGACTGATCAGGGACAGCTTCAGATTTGGAGGTTGATTCAGTTTGATCAGCTTGAGAGGCTGAAGATTGTTCAGCAGCCATCTGTGTGGGAGACTGTTTCCCGTCATGATCTGCATGTGCTTCTGCATCACTGAACATCACCTCACTGTCTGTCTCTTGCTGTTTTCTGTTCTCAATCAGTTTACAGATGAATGAACTAACATCATTTTCATCTTTTGACATTTTCTCTTTCAATTCCTTCAACACAGTTGTTGCTTCTGATGATGGCAAATCTTTCAAAGCTTCTAAGGCCATTTTGTTCAAAGCCTTTGCTATAATTATAGAATTATTGATAGAATTATCTGGAATTCAATATGCCTCTTGAATAATGTGCATGGCTTAAAATTTATTTAAACAGAATAATATCTTTTAATAACCAAAGCACATCTAAAATTTTCTAAATTAAAATTGATTACCAACCAGCATTAACAATATTTATTGTGTATAGTAATAATAGTACATACACATGATACATATGGATACTACAAAGTTATAGCATGTTAGCAGGGATGCAACAAAAAATTTAGTTTGGGGCTGCACAGATTTGGAGGTCGTTTTGGGTTATTTCACTATAAAACTTTTTACAAATTTTGTTTGGAGTGTTGAAAAAAGCTGGTGATCATTTATTTTGTATTTTAATAAATTTTGTATTTTAAAAAATATTTCTTAATAAAAATGTTCAAAAACATTCCCTAGTGCAAATGAAAAAAACACTGATAAAATTACTTTATTGTTGTAACATTAATATTTTTAATTTTTTCAATTCAACTTTGAGCATTTTGGTTGTGCTAGTATGTTAATTAAAATGAAATCATAAAAAATTCTTTAATGCCAAATTTATTTGAAACTTAAATTTAAATGCTATGACTTACTATTAACTATAACAACTGAACTAGCTAGTTTGAGGAATAATGAAAAACATTTGTTTTTATTTTAAGAAACAAATGCTTTGGCCTCTTAAACAGCAAATAAAAATGAAAGTATAAATAATGAATTTCATTAAGGTATAAAATTTAACAGATTCTTTACCTTTATTCTTTATTGAATCTCTTTAGTTTAGTTTAAAAAGTTTAGTTTTTAGTTTGGCAATTAGTTTTAGTTTAGATAAGGCAGCATTAAACATTCAAACAAGAAGTAAACTAATTAATTAGTAATGCTAACCTGATTGAATACTATTTTTAATCTCATCAGCAACTTCCTTAGCAAGACATTCATAAATTTTCAGCCTCTCTTCATCTTCATATTCAACTTCACCTACCAATCCTAATTCTTCTTCATTGTCAGACTTCTTAGACAAAAGTGTTGGATTATTCTCTTCAGTTGTCATCCTCTTCAATCAACCAGTTGGAAATTTAAATTTGTTATAAAATGCGCTCAACTAAAATTCCGGAAAAACTAAATAATAATGAATTCCGACTGGCAGACAGAATTATTTAAATTTGATACCTTTCAGCCGCCATGCAACCACAAAATAGCAACAAAATCTTAAGCAGCCTGGACTGAAACTGACAGGAGACCACCTGGTATTTTAAATTTTTAAAAATTATATTTACAATTAAAATTTTAAACGATTTCTCTATTTTTTAGTTAAATGCAATTATTCTCGCGATAAATTTTCATAAAATTGTGATTTAAATGCACCCAAAAGCAGCAAATTAAGAATTGCAAAAGTTAGCACGCACAGTAAGCGCTGAGAAGGAAAGAACCTGAATGTATGAACAACCAAAAAAATCCTTTCATGTGTGTGTGTTCGTGTGTGTGTGTGTGTGTGTGTGTATGTGTGTGTTCGTGTGTGTGTTTGTGTGTGTGTATGTTTGTGTGTGTGTGTATATATATATGTGTGTGTGTGTGTGTGTGTGTAGAAAGGAGTTCCATGGTAACTGTCCACATAATAAGCAATCTCAAAATATTATTCAATTGTTTGTAATGCTTTTATTTAGTGTACAAAATTGCAAGTATGTTTCTACATACAACTCAGGTGCGTTTGTTATTTAAATTATTATTTATTTATTTTATAAGGATGAATGTATGTTGAATGATATATTCTTATACTTAGAATAAGAATAAGATAATGTCTAAAGGGGCTTCGAGATACAAATTTGGAAACCGTTTAAATCATTGGATTACATTAGAAAGTGATATGAAGCTTTTAATCTGAACTTTGACCTAGAAGCAATTGCTTCATTACAGTGTACTGTTTTTTTTACAAAGTAAACAACCACCTGGAGTCTCCCCGTATCAGTTATAATGTCATTGTCTTTCTTGCTTCCAATGCAGCGTGCAATGGTGGAGATACGGTAGGGCAACTCCAGTTTAAAATCCCTTGGTTAAAATATAAAATTAAAATCTATTTTCTGGAGCTAATTTATTATTTCAAAACGTTGTAAATAATGGCACTGAATTTAAAATGCACCGTGGCCATGTCACATCTTGAAAGTGGGCAAATCCAAGTTTCTTATAAGTCATTTATTTTATGGTGGAGCATCGAATAACACTTGAGAATACAAATGAAGCCGTCGACCTGAACGTTAATTTGAATCATTGTCGTCTGTATATTCTACATTTCCGCTCTCCCTAATCTGAACCCATATACAAATAATCATCGAATAAAGACCTTTATACCTTATATACCTGTATATGCCCTAATCTAAACTGCTGAGATAGGTATTCCTCGTCATACAAAATAGTTGTAGTTGTAAAAAAAATAATATAACCTCCAGCTCCAGAATATCCATCTATTATTCGCACGAAACAATTAAAAATATTAGCAGTTACATTTGCATCCACACTCAACATTACACCTCATAGAAACCACATCATCACAAAAGGTCTTCAAACATTTCATGCACTCAAAACACTTCGCTCACATGGTCTCAAAGGTATCAAACTATTATTCGACATCACAGAATCACTCACCATCTCACCCGCACATCAAATATGCGCTGCGCAGTGGAGGGTCTGGGGGTTTTAATATTGATAACAAAACTGCTCACAACGGGAGGCCATTTTTTGTTATTAAGTCAGTAAAACTCAATTTAAAACTCAGTTTTTAGACAGAAAAAACACTGACTTAAAGTACAAATGGACCAAAATTTGGTGTGATAAGCCAAAATAAGTTCGTCAGCCAAATTTTAGCTATTTTGGTTAATTTTTTGGTTGAAATCAGATTATAAAAAAACATCTATTTTGTTTATTATACGATATGTAACAAACCAATGACTATTTTTTATATTATTGATATCAGATAGCAGCAGATAAACAGTTACCAGCACTTTTATCTGATCTGTTATTCTATAATGGGAAGTAATTATGAATGACTTTTATCGGAAAGTCATTAACGTTTCAATGTTTGAAAGATCTCACTGAATTGTTATCCTGAAAAAATTATTGTTCATTACGATGCCCAGTAAGATGCGAGAGATTCAACAATACATACACATCATTAATTTTACGCTGATGTGAAATTATCCACTCGCGATAAATTACTTTTAATGTACTTTGGTTATTTAGTAATAATCCTATTTTTAGTGACATGTCACGATAATATACTCTAGCCATTGATATGGAAAGATATTTAAGGAACCTGATAGAAGAAGATGTGACGTTTTTTTTATTAGATTTTATGGCTGTGTAGAGAAGAACAAAATTATTTTCGCATAACAAAATTGCATGGTGTAAGACGTCTTATTGGAAGTTCAGACCAAAAATATCACAAGTCATGGGCACCTGTAGCGGAAGTGAATTATTTCGACAAAACCGCGTCATGTGATGAGGACGTAAACAAAGAAAAAGGTATTGACGATGTTTTTTTGTCCGACTACAATCCTTTCGTTAACAGAAGAAACATGGAAATATATAAGTGTAAAAAATTCAAAAAAGGACTCCACAGTGGGGCGATAGAATTGAAAGGTTTTCAAAGTGACGACGGAGATCATCAATGTAGTCATCGTTCGACTCTTCAAGCACAACTGACGCTCAAAATAAAGATGACAACCATCAGAAATTATTCATTGGAAAAAATTAGGAACAAATAATTCATTTCATTATTTTCAATATACATTATATTTATTTAGATTATATTACATTTATGAATAATTAAATTACATTTTAATTATTGTAAAAGTTGTTTTTTATGAGTTTTAAAGTTATTAAATTATTTAGTGTAATTTTTTTCAAGTGAAATAAAATAAATTGGATCCGAACATAGTGTTCATTTTCCTCCACCATCCTCATAAAGACTTGAAAAGCGCTAGACGTTAAAATCAAATTATTATTTATTTTATACATTTGCAACATTTAAAACGGCAGTGAGGAAAAATTCTCATCTACAACTGATCAACCACGCCCTTAGCATTTTTTGTTTCTACATATCAGTTTACATTTAATTACTTTTATTTAATAATATTTTTCAATATATTTAAATTTTATTTATTGTACACACCCTGGGGGGTTTCGGTGTTCAACTCCCCCGAAATAAAATATTTCATAGTTTTAAAAATAGTTTGAAAACTTTTTAATATTTCTGCAATTTTAAGATGCTGTCATTTTTTGTTGTATATTTATTTTTGGTTTATTGATGTCAATTAGGACTGCTTCTGCAATTTTAAGATGCGTGTAGTTGCTTTAACACAGAGCTATTCTTAAACATATCATCAATAAAAATGTCACACCAACCAACCCAAATATAAAGTTAAACTCCGAATTTATTACAACAATAAAAAGACGTCTCACCTAATACTGAAAAACAACTGTAGTCCTAGATATAACTCTGTGTTAAAGCGTAATCACGTAATATATGAATTTAATTGCCCCATTGACGGCTGTGCACGTCAACATGACTCATATATCGGGATTACTACTATCTCACTGACTAGAAGGCTTACGATGCATAAACAGAGTGGTGCTATAAAATCTCATTTGGACTCAACACACTCAATCACTATTAGCCGTGAAATCCTCGACAGCAACATCAAAGTAATATACCAGAACACCAAATACACGCATCTTAAAATTGCAGAAGCAGTCCTAATCGACATCAATAAACCAAAAATAAATATACAACAAAAAATGACAACCTCACTCCCAACCCGGCGCTTAACCAACAATGAAAACAAAGAAGTAATAAAAACTAGCATTGTAAATGGTGACAAAGAAGAATATGATGCTATCGATGAAGAAAAGGAGACCAAAGTAGATGACCAGCCAATAAAGAAACCTGATACCTAATTTCCATCTAAGTTCATTTTGACAAAGTCAATATTTCCATATATAAACATCAACCGCACTGATGATGATTCATTCGGAATCGTAATATGGCCTTATTTGCAGCATGAATTCAGAAAATAAGTTTATTTTGAATTTTAATAAACTAAACTGCTTTTGCTTTTTCTGGTCCTTTTCTCTGGAACTCTCTGCCTACTTCTCTAACTATTTCTCCATCGCTTGCGAAGTTCAGAGCGGATCTCAAGACCCATCTGTTTTCAAAATTCATGGAGGAGCGCTGTTGAACATCGCGGAAATAGCGCTTTATAAGCTAATTGATTGATTGATTGATTGATAAACGTTCTTCAAAAAACTTAAGTGAGAAAAATCGAAAAAACGAACTACAAACATATTAACGCCAAACATTCGGTAGAATTTATAGAATATTGTGAAATATATATTATAAATATATATATATATATATTATTATTTTTCAATTTTTGCCATTGATACTGATTAGACTTTTTCTTATTTAATCAATGATTGTCTCTAATTTTTTAATAATTGTTTGTTCCATCCCCGTCTAAAAGTAAACTATATTTCGTTTCACGCTTATTTTGCCGTTAAAGTTCTGAAGTCTTCAAATAAAAATATAATGGAAGAGCACATTTTTGATTACCAGTTTCGTTTAATTTTAGTAGGAGATAGCATGGTAGGCAAATCTAGTTTGTTGAGATACTTCACGGAAGGCATATTTGATGATTCTTGTGAACCCACCATGGGGGTGGATTTTTTCGCTCGTTTGGTTGATATCAAACCTAACGTCAGAGTAAAGCTACAAATCTGGGATACTGCCGGTCAGGAAAGATTCAGGTTAAATCGTTAGTTAATAATTTGTGTGTGCACGATTGTGTGTGTGCATGCTGTAATAATAATCATGAATAAGCATTATAAAAAAATGATTGCCGGGATGGATGATTGCCAGCTAGCAGGATCTAGACCTCCACTAGTTGTAGGAGAGTAACTGGCTAACTGTTGTCTGAATTTTTTTCTGCATCTATAAATAATTTTGAATAAATAAAAGAAACGTGAAGATAATTATGGCAAACCTTGAGTTTCAGACCTACTTGTTTGTTTACATTCACTATCTCTAATATAGAGTAAAATAAGCTCCCTCTACTGAAATTCGAAAAGTGCATTGAGATTAAAATAGAAGCATGTATAGATAGATTTATTTAATTATAATTTGTTGATATATTTTTATAATAATTTGTACGTATAATTTAGTAAATTAAACCTTTTAAATTGTTTAAAATTTCTTGGATAACATATAAAATAAATGACAAAAAATGAAGAAATTTTTATTTTTATACGAAGTAAAACAAAAATTGTGAAATTTAGTAAATAAAACACTGAGCCACATATAATCAATATAAAATTAATAATAATAATTAATTAATAATAATTCAAATTATTTAACAAATATTGTGTTTTTGGTGTATGTGCCTAATAATATTACCAAACGGTAGGTTGCCGTACCATTCGCGCCACAGAAATTCTGTCAAGTAAGTGTGCCTGAGGGACGTCGATGTACCGTACATAGCTTTGAATCTGGCTTTGAATCGTGCCCACATGGATTGAACGTTTTGGATGTGTGCTCCTGTCACTGGGTCAACAAAATTTTGGGAATGGTTGACTGTCAAATGAGTGTAGCCCATATTTCCCAGCTGGCTATAGGCCCGACACTCATCTGACACGATGGTTGTGCCAGGAGCAATCCACTTTTGTATCAGCGGCAACAACGCTTGTGAATCTTGGGCCACGACTTCTTCCACAAAACAAAGCTTTGTACCACGTTGGATTCCTCCAAAAATCAAACCTTCATTGGCACCCACATTTCTCCCCCTCTTGTATTTCGCTTTCATTAATTTGGACTCATCAATCTCAACAATTGTGCCAGGGCCACCTATCTGGTTAATTTAGGAATAATTTTTTGAGCATTGTAATATAATTTCAATTTTTATTAAATTGTTGACAAACCCCTAGACTTTTAACCTACCTGGTCAATTTGCTGTACGCATTTAAACAGACAAATGTCACAACAAAAATTGAACCAATCGATGACTGTTCTTTCACACAGTTTCAGTTCGTGACATGTCGAACTGATGGACATTTTTAGCACCCAGAAATAAACCATGCGGACAATCAGGCTAAGTCTTATGTGACTTCTTTCAAAGAACGAGTCTTTCCTGATGCTGCATCTTTTTTGAATAATTTATAAGTATTAATTAACATTTAAACTAATAAATAAAAAATACTTGAAATATATAATTTATGTAACCTTGATTTATTTTTGACAAATTATTGACAACGCCAGACAACTCCATCCTTTTTTAAATTACAAGTTACCTCTGCCATTTCGCAACCACAATTATCCCAGCACATTTCACGGTAGATTAGTCCGTGAAATCTGAGCCACTGCCTTGTCACGCGTTTATTTTTCGTTAAACGCACGACCAGGTCAGTGAATGTCACGTTGTCAGCCATCGTAATGCTTTCTAAATATTAAAATTAAAACATATTGATTTATAATTTAAGGATAAAATTTTAACATTAATCTAACCTAATGTTTTTATAAATATTATAACATATATTACTCGTTATTATAAGTGATTATAATTTAATGCTTAAACAATTATAAATTATAAAATTAATCTAACCTTGGTTTTTTGATATATTCAAGTTTTATTAAAACAACTACGAGGACACAAAAACGTTGGAAAAGGAAATACATGCATAGATATATCAATACGTGTTACTTGTTTGAAATTTTAGAAAAAAGTAAAAAATGAAAAAATTATGAAAATCTAATTAAACCTATTTTAATTAATTTATTTTAATAAATTTTAATATATTTATTTAATCACTATATTACTATGTTAACATTTTAAAATACGAAATAAACGTTTTAAAATTCTTCTTTCTTCTATTTTAATCTCAATCAACTTTCTGCATATTAGTATGAGGGGCTTTTGTAACTCTCTATTGGAGATAGTGATGTAAACAATCGTAAATGTAAACAAATTTTAACGTTGTATGTCTGAAACTCAAGGATTGCCTTAATTACTATTATAATTGTATTATTATTGTCACATTGTTTTTTGATAGATACAACGATACTGTCTATACAACAAAACAAAAGATACTAATTTATATAAAACTGAACCTTGCCATACCAACCAACCTAAATATTATATTATAATTATACACATTCATCTGTGCCAGTTGTACACATATTAAAAAGAAAAACACAAAAGTTGATAAGAACAGCAAGCTTGCATGCATGTGAAATATTTGCCTTTTAGTTTAGGTAGCAGCAAAAGTACATGCACATGCGTACGGAATTTGCTTGTATAAACACGAAATTGTATAGTTATAGATGACATTATAAATGTTTAAAAATGTATAATTTTGCAGTGGCATTCTGTGTAAACTGTAAAGTCTAGTACAAACAAGAAGACATGTTATGCAAAATGTTTATAAACGTTTAACGGCAACGACATAGAGTCTGTCATCATACGTTGTTCATACCAAAATATATATGGAGTATGGTCCAGTGAATATATATATAATAACAGATATCAAAAATTTGTTATTATCGTTACATGTACTATGTTAAAGTGTTTCTTAAAATTTAAAAAATTTTTTTCCAAATAAATTTTATTCAATCATTAGGAGTTAAATTTTTATTATAATAACTCCAACATTGTAAATTGCAATGGAAATGGAAAAAACGGAAAATTTTTCTAAAATTATTGTTTCACAATTTATTAAACCAAAACCAATTTTTATACCCACTTTTATTACAAAATTAATAGATATTAATTGTCATATATCATTTCAATACTTACCTTCCTCTCTCTTTAATTCAAAACCCAACCTTTCAGCTATCTATACTGTCGTGGAATTTCTTTGATAGCTCAAGTTGAACGTCTTAATGTTGACTTGGCAACTGGGTTCTTGACCACTAATGGTGTTGTTCTATGACTTCAGGTTGTTGTTGTACCAAAACTTCAGGTTGTTGTTGATCTCCTATGTTGAGCTGACCCGTTTGGTTTTACAGGTTCTCCAGTATCACAGGTTGTGTTATAGTATGATAAGTTTCTTTCCTGTTAAGTTTTGCAATCTTTGTTCCGACTCAACAGATGATCTATGTGGCGTTTCCATTGTTTCTCATACCCATTACAATCTAGAACTAAACAAAATATGTATTAGTAATTTGCAAAATTCTTCATAGTCTTTATAGCCATTTAATTTGATATAATTTTACAAATTGCAATGATCCAAAAAATTTGAGTACTTTAACATTTGGTGTGTTTAAGCGTCCCTTGGTTACCATTTTAACTAAATGACTACTACACAATTTCACTTACTATTTTTATTAATTTATACCGTTGACCGATAACTAGTGGAAAACTGTTCCATATAGATGGTGAGCAATATGAAAAGCCTTTATTGGCGAGAGCTAATTTATTGACTGGTTGATTCAGTTGCAATGATGACGGCAGACGAAGGTGATGGTGATGATTAACATGATTTTTGTTTGTTTGTTTGTTTGTTTATATTTTCCGGCGTTTCAGCACAAATTGGCTATCTTCACGCCCACTTCTTTCAATTTTATTTAGTTAGTAAGAACGTTCTTCTTCTTAAATTTTATGAAATAAATCAGTTTCAATCAGAAATTTTATTAAATTCTGTATGTTCATTTGGTTAAGAACTACTTCTTGCATATTCGTTGGAATGTTATGTCGTTTTCTTATACTGTTTTCTATTTCGTCCATCATTTCTTTTTTGGTGATTGGTTGATTGTGGCTTTCATTGTTGTTAGATTCAAAATTGAGGGCCATTTTTTCTTGTTCTTTTTTGAGTTCTCTGAATTCTTTACTATGATTGGATATCTGAGATTTATTTTTGAATTGATTGGCCAGTATATTTGCTATCTCTTCATCTGTTTCATATGTTTTGTTCTGGAAAATTATATGGCTTGTACGGCTTTCTGTGCTTTTACTTTTAAGTTTCTTGACCATTTCCCATATGTGTATCATTGGTGTATTTGATTTCATATTACTTATGAATCTGTTCCAACACTGCTTTTTTTCCTGCCTTACTGTTCTTCTTGCTATTGCCTTGGCCTTTTTATATTCTATTAAGTTAGTATGTATTGGATTATTTGTAAATATTTTTAAGTGTTTTAATTTATTTTTTATTGCTGCTTTACACTCACTGTTAAACCAGGGATTTATCATTTTATTGTTTTTATTATTTATTTTTGGTGTTGTCTGCTCTATTATCATCATTATTGTTTTGGTCCATCTTTCTATAGATGCTTCATTTATTTCATTCCACATAGCAAATTGAGAGGCTGTTTTTTTTTAATTTTCCCCAGTTTGTTTTGTTGTAATTTAATCTTTTTGTTATTGGTGCATTCTGTGTTTTATTAATTTCTATTGTTATTGGGAAATGGTCACTGCCATGCAAGTCATCGTCTATCTTTAAACTTACGTCCTCCTGGATGCTTAGAGAAGTAAATGTCAAATCAATCGTTGAGAGCGTGTTTGTCTGTTTGTGATAATATGTTGATCCATTGGGCTTTATTATACATATATTACTTCGAATTAACAACTCTTCTAAGCATTTGCCTTGTGGGTTTGTTTGTTTGCCGCCCCATAACCGATTGTGGGCATTGAAGTCCCCAAGGAGGATTAAAGGCTTTGGTAATCTTTCCAGCACTTGCAAGATTTCATCGGTTTTCATCAGTGTTTTTGGGGGAATGTACACATTACATATGGTTATTGATTTGTTTGTGGTTATTT